ACCAGACAATGGAAAGACACACACAAAAAGATGCAGACGCCTACAACAAACTGACGTCTCCCGCAGAGGCTGCGGAATGGGTGCGGTCAATCAAAGCAACAAACACAAACAAACAGAGAAACACAAAACAAACCCCGTGAAGTGAAGCCGAAGGGTGAAGGCATCCGCCGAGCAGTGGGACGACCAGCACACACACACTCCCTCTTTCTCCCCCCGCACAGCCCAATCCAGGAAGAGACAGAGAGAAAGGTCGCCCACCGAAAGCAATGAAACAATCAAAATGATAAAAACAGTTACGGTGCTCCACCCACGCAGCCAAGCAGGACGGCAGCGTGCGTGTGTTGGTGGCAGCGGCAAACAGGAGGGGGAAGGGACGCCACCCATTGGGATGTGCGTAGCAAACGACCATTGAAACAAAAGTGAAAACAAAAAAGCAAAGGAGTAGCCCTCAAAGTGCAGGAGAGGAGTTGGCCCACAGAGACGGCACGCAAACTCGGCGCACAAACACTCCGCGTCGCCCTGCCAGGGTGTGTGTGGGTGTGCGGGTCCCCGCAGCAGTCACTCCCCAGCAGCACAGGCAACAGCAGCCGTCAGCAGCAGCAGCAGCGTGCCACGCACCCACACAGTGAGCGTGTCGCTGCCGTCCGCATTGCCTTTTGTGTGTTTCCCACCACTGGGGCTGCTGCTGGTCGTGGTTGTAGTGGCGCTTCCACCATCGTTGCCAGCGGGAGTGATGGAAGTGGAGGTGCCGGATGGCTGTGCAGAGGCTGAGGGTGCTTGCACCACACCGTCTCCTGTGGCTTTTGATGAATCCGCACCGTCAGCCGGTGATGTTACTGTTCCCTGACTCCCTGTGGATCCCGTACTGCCCGACTGCTCAGCAGCATTAGGAGGAGAGACTCCAGTACTTGCACTGCTGCCTGCCGAACGTCCGCCCTGCTGAGTTCCCTCCGAAGATGACGTTGTTGCTGTTTGTGGTTGAACCCCCGGAGTTTGGTGCCCAGGCATCGCTCCAGCTGCGGGTTGTATGTGTAATAACTCACACTTGCCTGAAGTGCTAACTGGATATTCCTTACTTCTGTCGAGGGTAACGGCTTCGCAGTTCGACAGCTCAGAAGGTTGACTGTTTTCACCCGTCGTACAGTCCATCGTGAACGCAGCATCATTAGTGATCTTCAATTGTGGGGGTGACGGATAATTCTTCCCCAAGAAGGACAAACACCATGATTCGGCATGTATGCAGATGGATTCACTTTCACTGCTGTCTGCACTGGCCGTCCCAGCGGTAAGGGACCCATCATAATTCACCGCCTGCGAACACTCCTTCCAATCAGAAGAACCTTCGCCAGAAACACGCCAACATATCTTCCCTTCATTGTTCGGGCACAATACATTTACTTTCTCCGACGAGGTCGTCGCCCCGCACACGGAGGAGCAGCAGCCGCACAGCAGCGCAAGCACCGCCAGGGCATACACCGCACGGCGCCGCACTGTCGTCATCGCCATCCGTCGTGGTGTTGGTGGTTGTGGTGGTAGCAGAGTCGCTGGGAGCACTGGGCTGATCTATCAGGCATCGGGGGCGGAAGACAGAGGCAAAGGCATTGACTAGCACAGCGGCGGAAGGGCAGAGAGAAGAAACAAAAAGGGCAGCAGCTCCCCGAGTTCACGGAGAGGGAAAACTCGGCCCGCACGGCACCACCGGCACAAAATAAATATAAATTCACACCCCAATTTATATCGTGTGGCTGTGGCCGGGTGGGTGCCCGCAAATGAGCAAAGAAAAGACGGCAGGAGAAGACCAGCGGGGTTGGGGAGGGTGCGGCAGTCCCGCAAAAGATTGAACACGTCGAGGAGGCCGCGCCCCAAAAGAAAAGGCATCGCGCCCGCCAGCGCAGCGCACTGCTTTACAACTGCAGGCTCCTCCCCCTCCTCGCCGGTGTCGCTGGGTCCCTGCGCGGGAAGGCGCGGTGTGCTGCAGGGGCCGCCGCAACCCCTCCGCCGCGCGTACCACAAACTGGTGCGGTGCGAGAAGAGAAATAACCAGACAATGGAAAGACACACACAAAAAGATGCAGACGCCTACAACAAACTGACGTCTCCCGCAGAGGCTGCGGAATGGGTGCGGTCAATCAAAGCAACAAACACAAACAAACAGAGAAACACAAAACAAACCCCGTGAAGTGAAGCCGAAGGGTGAAGGCATCCGCCGAGCAGTGGGACGACCAGCACACACACACTCCCTCTTTCTCCCCCCGCACAGCCCAATCCAGGAAGAGACAGAGAGAAAGGTCGCCCACCGAAAGCAATGAAACAATCAAAATGATAAAAACAGTTACGGTGCTCCACCCACGCAGCCAAGCAGGACGGCAGCGGCGGTTCGTCAAAAGCAAAATATTTAAAAAAAATACAAACGAGACTGCACGAGTGGACGTGTATGTATGAGCAC